TTTTTTTTTTTTTTTTTTTTTTTTTTTTTTTTTTTTTTTTTTTTTTTTTGCGTTTTATTTTCAGTTTGGCTGGGTGTTTGATTATTTTTCTCTAATACACTGTTTTACATTATTATGATTTCAATCCCCCTTTTAAATTTATGTAAAATACTTTGTCTGCTTGCACTAAGCATTAATACTATTGACCAGGGCCTCGTGACTGAAAATGGCATAGAATGCCTAATTGTAAGGGATAGGGTGAGGAGTACAACAAAACTAAAATCCAATTCGAAATTATAAAAGGAAGTGAAAAGGAGAAATTAGTAACTCATGTAATTAATATGTATTACCCCTTTACAGTCTTCAAGACACGATCCTTATCAGAGAGAGTTCCTCTCCTAGCTGACCATGGTACCTCAGCTTTGATTAAAGCAGGGGGTCCTCCCTAAAATAAGTAAAGTAATGATAAATAATTAGACATAGGGCTTTAACAGCTACAATTTAGAAACAAATGAGCGTAAGTATAAGTGCCCTGCACACGTCATTTTCCCCCCACTAAATAAAATAATTTTGTTTTTCAGAATTATACATATATCTTGTCAGGGATTTTCTCGATAAACTGTGGAGCAACACATTTGTTCAAAGAAGGGGTTGTACAAGGATGTAAAGGAAAAGTCTAGATAAATTTAAACTAGAATATCAAAATTCCCAACTACATAGAAGCAGTTAGTTGAGCTAGCAACGTGTGAGAGTTAAATTACATACTTCAAAATGTACATCATAAAGTTTACAGGGAACAAACTGTGTGTGTGTGTGTGTGTGTGTGTGTGTCTTCAATGCTAATTGATTTTGGATGAGGTTTGAGATCTTGTTCTTCTTTAAAATAAAAGTTAGTGGAGATGTTCTTTTCTGAGTTCATCATTTCAACGAAATCAACTAATGAAAACTGCAGGAAGAAATACAAAAATTACCCCTTGGTTAGGAGTGGTTCGGGTCCAAGATGAGTGATCTTGACGATTCAATTGATTTGCATCTTGCTGTCTAGAGTCAAAATGACCACCAAAATCTCTATCCCGAATTGTTTCCCTGGACCTATCCTCTCCAGAAGCAGAGAATTGGGCAGAACGGCCACGCCAGTCACGATTGTCAGGCTCAGAATAGCGATTCTGAGATGGATTAAGTTGCTATAAAAAGGACAAGGAGATGTTACAGAGAATCATACACGAAGAAATATTCAAAACCCTGCTTTTCATAAATTACCCTTAACAAATTTGAGGGGAATCAGATGGTTAAGAATACCACTAGGTGCAGATAAAACAACTTTAAATTTTAATGAAGGACCTCTTACAAACCTTCCAGCACCCCCAAGAGAAAGCAAGAAAAAAATCAATCAAGTGAACGACCAACATACTTACATTGCTCTCTCCACGACTCCAACTTTGTTCCTCGCCAAAAATTTCCACTTCAATATCCCGTTTAATTTTTAGTATATCATCTGGAACTTCCACGACCTTCAAGAAACAAGAGGAACCAATCACTCAAAAAACATAAAGAAACAGATACGTGATTCTCTACAAATTCTACGCAAAAGCATCAGTACCGGTAACTGTGACTTCGAAATATTTAAAGAGTACTTCAAACTAGAAAATAGCTATCGTTTCTTTTTCTTTATTTAGAAACAAGGAGAGGCAATGATCATAACTAAAAGAACAAAAAAGATTTAATGAGAAAATGCATATCAATCAAATTATCCCAGAAAGAAGCCGAAGTTATATATTTTTATTTGATCTTAATACGAAAGTATAAAAATTCACAAGATATTCACGGAGAGGAAGTAGACACATGCGCCGTCGAGACTATTAGCTTATTTTGATAAAATAAATGAGGACATGATGTTTACTTCCTGAAGCTGCAAAAGCTGATCTCGGGTATACCGAACACGCTCACGACCCTCAAACCGTGAATCTCCAGCCTATTAAAAATGAAAAATGAGGGTTAAAACAGAATCCAACGAGAAATAAAAATGATGCCCGTACAAAATAAAAAAGAGCAACAATATGCAACAAAATATTTCTGCCATTGGATCAATTCAAGATGAATTAAACCGGAAACTAATAATTAACTTCCATGATTTCCACATCCCCATCGATTAAGAACCCCAGATTGCAATCTTAACTCTACCAATTCAAATCAAGACGCACAAGGAAGCAATAAACCCCATCACAATTGATAAACAAAAAAGCAAATAACCATTCACGTCGACATATCGAATCCACAAACCCGCACGCTCAAACGGTTTGAGAAAACAAGATTAGGACATTGAAAGGTCAAGATCCAAATCAAAGAACAAGTGTTGGTAAATAGAATCCAATAAAAGACCATCGTAGGCACATACCTTTACAGAAAAGGAAGAGGAAGAAGCGCCATGTGGACGGAGGGTGGGGAGATCAGAGGAAAACGAACCAAAGGCAAATGAAGATGAAGATGAGGATGAAAGCTCAAAGCGAGGACCAAGGAGTCTAGGTCGACCGCCACCAGGTCTCAAGCTTAGAACCGTCTGATCACCTTGCTGCATAACTCGATCTATCGCTCAAGGAGGATATCTCCGCCGCAGGACCAAGAAGAAAGAGGAGAAGGAGAGAGAAATCGGAGGAAGAAGATTCAGCGGCAGTGCGCGCTGAATTGGATAGGATTTGAAGAGAAATGAAGCTTTTGGTTTTTATCCGTTTCTCTCTCTTGTAATGAGAGAGAGAGAGAGAGAGAGAGAGAGAGAGGTCTGATAAACAGAAGAGAGAAAACGATGAACCGGTTGCGGGAGCCTAAAAAAACCCTTCTTTCCCACACTCTGCTCGCTCATCCACGCCAATCTCTCTCTCTCTCCCCCTCTCTCCCTCTCTTTTCTTTTACCCTCCATAAATATAATTTTCCATTTTCTGATTTTCTCTACCTTTAATTCTTTTTTTCTAAACTTAATATAATATTATAATTAAATACTATTTTAAAACTCCCATTTTTTAATTGCTTGGTTAATAATTTTTTTATATTAAATTATTTAATCAATCCGAATCATCTCAATTACTCTATCGTAATCTTATTTTAAAATCCATTAAAGCAACCATCTAAAATAGATCTGTAATAAAAAATCATTATTATAATATTTGTTTCTAATTTTGGTTGATAATTGCATTTATATAAGTTAATTTAAAAGTTGTTACAAATTACAATATAAAATAGTAATAAATGGTTTAGTTTATTTACTTATTAATTTTATTCCCAATACAATTGTTTTTTATTTTTAGATTTTCATTCAAACATGTTCACGATTATATATTTTTATTTTATTATTACGTCAAAGTTGATTTCCAAGATACAACGAATATTTTATTCAGAGATCAATTTTAATATTTTAATATTTTGTTTAGAGATATTATAACATAAACCACCTTTTAAATACTTAATCCAATTTAATCATAATTTTTTTGAATTATAAAATATCAGTGCCTAAAATATTTATTTATTTAACTATTATCAAATATTTAATAAAAAAAATTATAATTTGAAATATTACCTTAAATAGCTAAAATATATATATATATATATATATTTAATAGTAGTTGGAATTTATTTAGTTTTTATTCAAACTAGTCGGCCCAACCAGATAATTCATTTGTATATATATTTATTTATATTAAGTAAGTAATAATTATAATGGTATTTATTGCCCACAGATTAGGTAATTACAGTGGTATTTATGGTTCACAAATTAGGTCTTTATTAATTGATTAAAAATTTCCCTTTTTTAGTTGAAGCAAATGATTTCTATTTAATTTGACTTTTAAAATCAAAATTAATATCCTATGATATTTAGAACATAATAATAATAATATAATTGTGTTAAACATCCATTATGCACTTTCCAATTGCACACGCACATTGCATAAGTGGAATTAAAAAAAAACAATATAAGTAATAATATTAATAATACTTTTATAATAAGCTAATTATGACACTCTTTTATTTAGTTATAGAAAATATTCATTAATTTTTAAAAGATATTAATACCCAAAACGCTGTAACCAAATATATTATTATATATAAATTAAAAGAGAGTAAATGAAAAAGAAAAATAACCAAATAGATTAACAATATTATTTAATTTAAAATGTAAAAAAAAAAGTAATATTTAAAAGTTTAATGATATTTTTGAAAAATACACGATTAAATATATTTTATTTTTTTATTTTTTAAATTTATTGGTACCAGTGAAATTTTTTTAAGTTAAATAATAATATTTTTAATTTTTAATTTTAATAAAATTTAGAAATATTATTATGTAATTTTTTGGCCTTTAATATAGGAAGGTATTTCCCGCCTCCAAATGAGGAAATCGAAGGGAAGCGGCGAGATTAGAAGCTCCCGGGAGCGCCGTAGACGCATACAGATGATATGCACAAACACGACCACGTCTGGAAATACGATGCCACAAGTTCTTCGACCTTGGGGCCGTTCGCCACGTGCGCCAACTCTTCGCCATTGTCTCCAGACCTGATCTATTATTGTTCAATGTCGTTGTTAGAGGCTAATCTTCGATCTCTCTGTCTATACCCATTTAAGAAATGAAAAGACTGATATTAGGCCAGACAATTTTACTTGTGCATTTACGATTTCAGCTGCTTCGAGGTTTGAGGATGAGAGGATTGGCGTCTTGTTGCAAGCGCATTCCATTGTTGGTGGGGCGGCGTCAAATTTGTTTGTTGGGTATGTAATCGTTGATTTGTACATCAAATTTACGCGCGCCGAGTTGGCGCGCAAGGTGTTTGATGTTGTGCTTGAGAGGGATACGGTTCTTTGGAACACAGAGAACCCGATGTCTATTGAAGTCAAGCTGAAGCATAAGGACAAGAGTGTCAAAAGATAGGCTTGATAAGAGCCAAATAGGGCCTCGGGACTTAACCTCAAAAGTCGGAGTTTCAGTCTGAATTTTGGCGTATGATCTAGGCCAAATTTGATGTCAATCAGATACCGGATGGACGCTCCACAAATAGTACCATCAAGGATCAGAGTTCAAGTCTGAATCGCTAAGTCCGCAGCTTTCAAATCAGTTGTTCATAAACATCATCGATGTTGAATATTAACTTGCTGTGCTGCAGGTACGCAGCTGGTCATGCTTAAAGCATGGCTTTGCATTCTCTTGCTTCAGAAATTGTGTGAATCCAGTAATAGTTATTTGCAAAGGAGAATAAATGGTCTTGGCTAGGTACCACAGCTGTTGAGGGTTTTGGAAGTGAATTGTCTACTATGTTTGCATGAAGAATCGATATTTATTCTCTTCTATATTTATATTTTTGGATACTAAGGGGATCAGATTGCTGCATTTAAGAAAAAAATTTAAAGAATGCGTCTCCAAGAATGTTAATCCTTGAGGTACTATACTATCTTTGGCTATGAGTCCGAAGTTACCAATTTCTATACATGTGCTGTGTGTTATGTATAATTTTTTTTCTTAACCTTTCGTTTTCCTTTTTTCTTGCATGAAGCTGTTGATCAGTTTTGATTTCTTTACTGTTCAATATTCTATTATTCTAGAATCTATAAAGAGTCTAGTTTTCTATAAACAAAGTTCTAAAATTTCTAATAGGTTGAATCAGGGGAATCTTGCTTTCTATATTGTTTACTTTTCTCAATGGACAAGGTGATGAAGGTACAAGTACAATGCTGTAATTGTCTAAATGAAACACTCTGTTTTGTGTACACAAACTGAAGTAAACAAACACATCATCTTCATTTGTTCTCAAGCTAGACACGTTGTCATACTACACAAAAATTTCACTCTTACTTTTATTAATTCTTGTGCTTCACATATTCTAAGTACAATGTTCATGCACATGAATCTCCTGGATATGCACATGAATCTTCTGGTGATGCACACACAAATAAGAAGAAAGAGAGGAAGTATTTCAGCAATTTAGTCCACATTGCTTTGTATCAGGTCCCTTTGTTTTCATCACAAACGGATCAATTCGGACCCAAAGCAAGGAGAAGATCGAAGCCAACAGCACCGACCATATGACGACTATAGTCGGTGTGCGGTTTTGTCGGCCCATCAGACCCTTAAGGAATGGGTAGAGATGAACAATCACCCAGAAGGCAAAGAAAAGCTTCCCAAATAGAGGTCCCCATGATTGATAGCCATTGTTTATGGCATCTGAGATGCCTGCAACAACCCCAACAAGGTTGATGATCAAAATAGTTGTGGGAGGGATTAGCAGAGTGGTCCATTTGAAGGCATATAATTCTCCAAAGTCTTCGTCATCTGTTGCCTTGGATGTAACTGTGAAGCTAGTATCAATTCCAGCCAAAACCTTCAATAGACCTTGTACAACAGCAAATAGATGAGCTGAAATACCACCAATGACCCAGAACTGCTCATTTCTCCACCATTCCTCAATGCTAACTCCACTCCATTTAAGTTCAAGAATACCCGTAGCAAAAATGGAAAGAAACAATGCAATGAAGTAGAAACTTGCAAATGTGCTGATCTGTTTGTCCAAAAGCCAAAGAGAAATTCATCAGTGGATGCAAAATACCTTGCCAGAAACAATGGAGAATGTAAAAGCTTAATTAATTCGTGTGCTTGACCGGGGCTGATGGCCAAGAAAATTTATCAAACAATATAGCTGTAAGTTTCAAATTTCCACTTCCATAATATTTTCTGCTTAAATCATCTTTTGTAGGCGATAATGTAAATGTTACTATATTTACCGGTGGCATGATAAACTTATCCGTAAGCAGGCAGATTGCAGGGAGGGTACAGTAGGCGAGAAGTGGTATTGAAGTGAAGGGGTAGACAGTGGTGTTGACATATGCAAATCTCTCTAGCCACTTTAGCTTTCCACCCTTATAGCCATACCAAACAGGGCAGTGGTTGCTGAAAAAAATTTCAATGGACCCGAGCGCCCACCGAAGCACCTGGTTCAGCCGATCAGACAAATTGATGGGAGCTGTACCCTTAAATGCAGGTCTCTTTGGCATGCAGTATATAGATCTCCAGCCACGACAATGCATTTTGAAACCTGTTAGAATATCTTCTGTGATAGAACCGTAAATCCAGCCCAGCTGCATTCACAAACATGACACTAGTTTCAGTTCCAAGTCTACCTATCTCTAGACCATATCTGACAATAACTTTTTGTTTGATTTAGGTGTTCGTATGAAATAAAAGGAGGGCGGTTGACATTACCTCGGTACCCCATTCGGTTTTGTCTTCATAACCACAACTGATAACATGAATTGCTTCCTTAAGCAGGGCTGCTGGACCAGAGGAGGGTGGAACACCGCCTTCTTCCATCAAAGTTGAGGTAACAAAAATTGACGAGTGTCCAAATTTCTTTTCAAAATTCATTTGCGACATTAGTAGCTCCTTGTCATCTTCCATCACTACGCATATAGCAGCAAGAGAATAGATATGAGTTATCACTATCTTATGGCAAAGTATCCACCAAGACACAAGAACCAAAAAGTTGAAGTTTGAAAAACTCACCTGCAGCATCTCCATCTACCCCACTTTTAGAGCTCTTAAGCTTCTTGCGACGTCCAAAGCATGGACAACAATCGCAGCTTACCATTTTTGGGCGCTTAGGACCTTTTGGGGGTTCATAACCATATAATGCTTGCCTCCTAAAGACGCACCCTGTGCCAACATATACGGGTCCCTGAATTCCATCTAAACCTCGCATGTTAATCTGCATCACAAAGAAAATAGTTCATTTTTAAGGTTCTTAGCTTAGTTTAGTCACCTGAGAAAATATATATATAATTTCAGAGATGGGGTCTTTACATCAAAGAAAACTGTGTTTCTGTTGGCATAACGATCATGCCTATCTATTCCATCGAATCTTTGTGGAAATTGCACATAACAGACTTTCTTTCCAACTTGAGGGTCCATAAGGAAACACATGGCTTCTCGTGCTGCTTTGCTATTGTTTATGTAGTGATCACAATCCAAGTTCAACATGAATGGAGCATTTGTAAGCACTGCAGAGACACGGATCTACAATTGAACAAAATATTGGGGATTAGATAAAGGAAAAGGAACAGACTGGGGTTGGGAAGGAGAGAAACTTGACTGAGCAAGTTACCAAGGAATTCATGGCACCGGCTTTCTTGTGATGCTGGAAACCTGGTCTTTTCTCACGAGATACATAAACTAGGCGGGGGAGTTCATTCCCTTCGGCATCAAGGCCTCCACTGTGACCTAGAAAAACTTGGATCATACCGGGATGATCTTTTGTGTTGTTGCCTGGCCATGGTGTTCCATCTTGCATTATCCATCCCTCTGTGGGAACTTTCATGGCTTTCGCTACTTGAGCATTTATTCTGACCTTGAACTCTTCATATTCTCTCTACATGAATCAAAAAATGTTTCAAGCTTGATATTGAGAACATATTGTAAAACTCCTATATGTACCTCTTTTTCAATGTATTTGTTAAAATTGCATACCTTCATTGCTCGTCGCTCCTTCACAAATGTTGGTTGGACTTTATCCTTGAGATAATCAATCTTCTCACAAAAGTACATTTCAGGTGCTCGTGGTTCTATGGAGAACTTCTTACAAAAAGGGACCCATTTCCTTGCAAATTCTGCAGTTTCTGACATTGCTTCAAAGGTAAGCATGGACGCTCCATCGTCCGAAACATAGCATGAAACCTTATCAACTGGATAGTCCATGGCCAAGATAGATAAGATTGTGTTAGCTGTTACAAGAGGAGGTTCCTTCATCGGATCTACAGTACTGACGAAGATGTCTACTGGAGCAAGCAAATTAGGTTCACCCTCTCGTTCATATCTACATTACAACATCCATATGAGTATCTCCGATGATTATATTCTGAACTTTTATACATATTCAACTAACAAAGTTTTCTTTTTTTCCTTCTTCCTTGTCTAGAATTGATATTACCTTAGAGTTAGACGATCCAAGTAGGTTTCACGATCGATTGGGAACCATTTGGGGAACTGATCGAGGATCCATGAAAATGCAAACCAGATTTCACATATCACAGAAGTTAGCCACAAACCCAATGCATCATGCACTGGATTTAGAATCCGATAACGAAGGAAGAAGGCGAGAATAACAAGCCGTGCCACAATAACCATCCGGTAAGGATTAATTTTGCTTGATGCTATTGGTACCTTCCTTGATAGTGGCTGTCTAGCTGCATCATTCCTGCAACAGTTTACAAGTCGATCAATACATCCGAATTAGTAAGGCAGGCTTTGTCAAAATTTTCAAGCATACATAGCCATGTCAGGGTCATTGGCATCATCAGGTTCAGGCCCAAGATTGCCTTGCTGCAATTTCCAATCATCCATTCTATCTTTCCAACCTTCTCTCTTTTCATCCCATCTTGCACTCCCTGATTTGTTGAAAACAAACTTCATGTAGCTTAAAGGAGAGAGATCCAAGTCTTCATCAATTTAATGCAAAAACAATAGGGTTGAGAAAATTTACCTGGTTCAGAAACCGGATATGGATGCACACGTTTGTGCAGAGAAGAAGATAACATCTGCTCTCCATATCCTTGAGAAGATAAAGGAAGCTCACCATTTACCTGCATATGCATTAGATATTAGATGCTTGTTTATAAATCTAATGTTAACTAGGAAAAAAGTTCCACTGAGGCTAGAGAATGAAAGTTTCGCCCACTCACTGGCTGTGTTCTTCCGTACTGTGCACTTTCATCATCATCAAGGCCTCTACCATAGCTCATCTTGCCATGAAGCATAGCTTCTGCCAGATGACTGTGGTTGTTCCTTTCATCATCAATGTTGAACTCATGTTCAATGTCATCTATGTCTTCTTCATCGTCGTCTCCCTCGACCCTTGGACTCCCTTCACATTACCCAAAAAGAGAGTTTAAGAAAAAATAAAGTGAAGATGAAACTAGTTATTGCCTTGTTCTGTGCCTTACCTTTGAGTCTCTTATATCTAGTTTTACACTGAGGGCAGAGTTGGCTTCCTTCTCTTCGTTCATACTCATAGCAGGGTCTGCAGACTGGAAAACCACATTCATTGCAAGCAACAAACAGATCACCATCCACAGTAAGCCCCACTTCATCACCACAGATCTCACAAACTTGACCGTCCAAGTTCTTCAACGGCTTTGGCTAAAGAAGAGAACAAAACAAAACAAAAACAACCAGATCAGCCACAAACGCACAAACCAAAACTTTCACACACTAAGTTAACTACCTCCTCATGGCCATGAATGACAACAAGCTCATTGCGATTGTGAGACCCAGCGACAAGTCCAGCGCTGGCTTCCATGGCAGGCGATCGACAGAGACCAGGTGTTCAGAGAAGGATGAGAGTTTGGAGCAAGGAAGGTGTTTTATGAAGGAGAAAGGTAGAGGAGGAAAAGGGTGGCATGAGATATTGAACTGTCTTCTTCACCTAATGTGTCCATGTAATGGGTGGTGAGTTGGTTGCTGTGTCAAAGTCCCGTCTTGCCTTGAAGTTAAGTTTCCTCCCCTCACTGTTCAACCGCCAAGGACCTCTCTTCTACTTCCTTTGCCATCCCAACCATCCAGGTATCATTGTTGTTCGTTTGCTCCTTTCATTAGTAAACTTCTTCTTCATTAATTATATGTTATGATCATCCAAAAGCCCCATAATCAGTGAAGATCATATCTAGTTTTAATGAAGTTAAGCCTTTGTTTAAGTGGGCAAATCATCCTCTAAATCAATAATCTTACAGTGTAAGTGAATATTAGGGTTTATTTTTGTGATTCCCATAAAGAATGGAAGGTGAAAAGAAGACGATGTTTGGCATGAGAAGAGGTGGTGGGAAAAAGCTGAGAGAGTATGCTTAGAATGCAAGCAGCTGATGCTTAAAATGCAAGAACAACCCCAAAACAATTTCAAATCGTTAGGTAAGGAAGTTGTAGTCTCTCCATCCGCTTCTTGACTGATTAACTTCAAAATTTTAAGAACTTTCCTATATATATATATATATATATATATATATATATATATTATTTACGTGAGAATACATGTTCAGTATGAAAATTTGAACTTCAGGATTTTGATTTTGGTAAAAAAAAAAAAAAAAAAAATCAGCTTACCGTAATTTTTTATTTTATTTTATTTTATTTTATTTTTTATTGCTATTTTGAAGGTAAAAAGTTAATTAAATTCTTAAGAAAAAAGCACTCATAATTTTTATTACAAACATACATTACAACCTTTCTCTATTTTTCACAGAATAAAAGAAAGAAAAAAACAACAAAAGAACATTACACTCTCAACCTCTACTTGAGAACTTCAAAAACTACAGACAGACTCCTCAATCAACCTCCTCGATCTTCGGCCCAGCACCGCCAGACCCGGCGGACCCACCACCAGGCATATCATCGCCCATAGGAGCACCGCCGCCAGCACCGCCCTGGTACATCTTAGCAATGATGGGATTACAGACACCCTCGAGCTCCTTCAGCTTGTCCTCAAGTTCATCAACCTCCGCCAGCTGGTTCCTATCCAACCACTCGATGGTGTCCTCCACGGACTTCTCGATCTTCTGCTTATCATCTGGATTCAATTTCCCTGCAAATTTCTCATCCCTAACAGTATTCCTCATGTTGTACGCATAATTCTCCAACGCGTTCTTCGCCTCCACCTTCTTCTTCACCTCTTCATCCTCTGCTTTGTACTTCTCTGCCTCCTTCACCAGCCTCTCTATCTCGTCTTTGCTCATTCGCCCCTTGTCGTTGGTGATTGTGATCTTGTTCTTCACCCCTGCAGTCTTGTCCTCTGCTGATACGTTGAGAATGCCATTCGCATCAATGTCGAAGACGACATTGATTTGGGGGACGCCTCTGGGTGCTGGAGGAATGCCAGTGAGCTCGAACTTTCCGAGCAGATTGTTGTCTTTGGTTCTGGCTCGCTCTCCTTCGTAGACTTGGATCAAAACTCCTGGCTGATTGTCTGAGTACGTCGAGAAAATCTGTTCTTTCTTTGTTGGGATTGTTGTGTTCCTAGGAATTAGGACTGTCATGACGCCACCGGCCGTCTCTAGACCGAGACTGAGCGGCGTGACATCGAGAAGTAACAGATCTTGAACTTTCTCGTCTCCTTCCCCACTTAGAATTGCAGCCTGTATACGCCATGGAGATAGACCATATTAGCTGGTTTGGTAACAAATTCGTACGAACTCATAAACTTCAAACTCAAATTCATAATAAGAACAACTAAGAGCAACTAAGAACAATTTCAGTTAATTTTATTTCAAAGACTAAATTGGGGGAGAAAGAATAGTTACCTGAACAGCAGCACCATAAGCAACGGCCTCATCCGGATTGATACTTTTACAGAGCTCCTTTCCATTGAAGTAATCCTGCAGAAGCTGCTGAACTTTGGGAATTCTAGTGGATCCACCGACTAAAACCACCTCATGAACTTGGCTTTTGTCAATTTTAGCATCACGGATACATTTCTCCACAGGCTCCATGCACTTCATGAACATATCCATACACAATTCCTCAAATCTAGCCCTCGTAATTGTCGCGTAGAAGTCAATTCCTTCGTAAAGCGAATCGACTTCAATCGTGGTTTGCGTTGTCGACGAGAGCGCTCTTTTGGCTCGCTCACAGGCCGTCCTCAATCTCCTCAGTGCCCTCGCGTTGCCGCTTATATCTTTCTTGTTCTTGCGCTTGAACTCTGTCACGAAGTGATTTACGAGCCTGTTGTCGAAATCTTCGCCGCCGAGATGAGTATCGCCGGCTGTGGCCTTGACCTCGAAAATTCCCTCTTCTATGGTCAAGAGTGACACGTCGAAAGTTCCGCCGCCGAGGTCGAAGATCAGAACGTTCTGTTCGCCTCTACGAGAAGCCTTTTTATCCAAACCATATGCAATCGCAGCCGCCGTTGGTTCATTGATGATACGCAACACGTTGAGTCCAGCAATGGCACCCGCATCTTTCGTCGCTTGTCTCTGTGAATCGTTGAAATAAGCAGGGACTGTAATAACGGCGTTCTTGATAGTTTGGCCTAGAAAAGCTTCGGCGATTTCTCTCATCTTAATCAAAACCATCGAAGAAATCTCCTCCGGAGCGAACTGCTTTTCCTCGCCTTTGTAATTGACGATGATCATCGGCTTTTCGCCGGGTCCAGCGACCACTTTGAATGGCCAGAGCTTCATGTCACTCTGAACAGACGGATCGGAGAGTCGCCGGCCGATCAAGCGCTTGGCGTCGAAGACAGTGTTCTGAGGGTTCATAGCGACCTGATTCTTGGCCGCATCACCGATCAAACGCTCAGTGTCAGTGAAAGCTACATAAGAGGGGGTGGTTCGGTTACCTTGATCATTGGGGATAATCTCGACGCGATCGTTAAGCCAAACCCCGACGCAGCTGTAGGTGGTGCCGAGGTCGATGCCTATGGCTTTACCTTCAGTTTTCGCTGCCATAGCCGGAAAGCTTCTTCACTGGTGATCAAATCGCAGAAAGTAGAGGTTTGTGTAAATGAAAGGAACAGAGTTTCAGAGAGCTTTTTCTGGATTGAGTAAGCTTCGAACAGAAATATGAGTTGAAGATCAGTACAAGAGGGAGAGAAATTTATAGGGTTTGAAGAGAAAGGTCCAGAAATTTAGCTCTGAGGGTGGGGGGGAAGGAAGAAGAGAGTACCAGAATCGGAAGAGTGCGGGAGTGTTCCGGAGAATTCCAGTTACGTTCCAGTTGGCGGGTAAATAAGGATCCTTTGCAAATCAGGGCTACATTTTACGTTTCTACCCTTGATTATTAAGATGGTAATTATAAGTCCTCTCAATTTTTTTTTTCATTAAAATGATACTTTTATTGTTTAAAAAGTTTCAAAATTTTTAATCTTTTTGAAATTCTTTTATCGTTTCAAAAAATTGTAAGATTTTAAATTTTATTTAATAGTTTCTAAAATTTTTTTTTTTTTTTTTTTCTTTTTGGCCAAATTAGACAACAGGATTGGGTAAAGATGAAAGTAGGGAGGGGAGGTAGGGGTATTATAGGAAATTGAAGTTCAAGTATCAAACGGTGGGCTTGGCGGTTGGGTTCGCACCAGAAGGAGAAACGGTGACAAATGACAATTATGATTCTTTCTCCATCGCACGTGTCTCAACAGTCAACATGCTCTTCCTATCTCCACACAATTCTTGATTCTTCCTTTGCACACTCTCTTACAAAATCCCCTACTCATTTCTCTACTCTGAATCCCCAAGTGACAAGATAAGCCTCATTTCAGTTCAAAGATTTAAATTTAGGAAAGTTCCACCCCCGCTAATTTAGGGAATAATTATGAGTTTATAATCAAAGAATACTCTCTTAATTAGTACGAGGCCTTTTGAGGAAGCCCAAAAGTAAATCCACGAGAGCTTATACTCAAAGTGAACAATATCGTACCGTTGTAGAGAGTCGAACAAATCAAAGAATACTCCCTCCATTGGTACGAGGCCTTTTGAGGAAGCTCAAAAGCAAATCCACGAGACCTTATACTCAAAGTAGATAATATCATATCATTTTAGAAAGTCGTGTTCGTCTGAGAACTATGTAACTATGTATATGGAAACAGATGCGAACCTGAACTAAAATATGCACAACTTCTCTTTCTTCCATTTGTATTCCTGACATCGGCTCTCTACCATGCACGATGACCCTTCAACTTCTCTGCCATCTCCATTAGTTTGCTTTTGTATGGTAATTGGTAAGCAGAAATAAAGTTGCAGGCTGAAAGAATAAGCCAGAGAGCTCTTGCAATGGAAGAATTATGTAAGCTTGAACAAAATTTTCAAATGATTAAATAGATTAAAATTGGAAAAGATTTACAGCTACAAACTCCCGCTATGAATTTAAAAAATGAATATACATGCGGGGTATAACTCATTTTCAGTGAGATAGGTAACAAATAGAAATATATGGGTTTTGTTGTTAGCTTGCTTAGCCTAGCTGGGCCAGTCAGGTTAGGAAGCTTGCCTTTAACCGCCTAAAACTCGCAGCACTTGTCCAGTCCTTGTTTCATTTGTATGAGATGCGTCCACAAACTCTGTTCCTGGACCTGCTTTCAAATTGGGTACTCTTACTTAATTCTATGCATGCTTGTAAAGTAATAGATTCAAGTGTGCTGAAATATCATCCTCACCTGAAAAGCCGCTGTTGAAGCCAACAATGCTACACATTCATCAAGCATAGCTTTTTCTTGGGATGCGACAATAGTAAGTTCAAAAACCAACGTCTGCATTACCTCCACCTGAAAAACAAATAAGCCAACGATGAATAGCAGAACTAGAACTGCAGACAAAAAAACATTGAATCTCGCAACCATATAAACAGCTATAGATATCTAAATATTGCCCATTCAAACATCAGCAATCAATTCAATAAATTCGATTTTCAACGACCCAAATTTCTTAAAATACATCTCCTGAAGTTTCTAGGTAATTGATTCATGACAATCATCAAGCAGGTGATAGATATAATGAACTTTTATTAATATCCGCAAAATGTAGAGCTCACGGGATAAGATGCTAACTGGTAGAGGGAGAAATCCAAATCAGAGGCTTTGATGGTTTGCAAAGGTTTAGATACTTGCAGCACTAAGTTTATCTCCTCTAGCTATTGTGATCAGAACTATTCTTATTCTCAAGCAGTAAGGACATCAATTGCATTATAAGATGACAAGATTGGTCAATGTCCATAATAATTGCAGAGACTCTTGATTTCATGGAAGATGGGATGAAAAAACTACTAAATATTGATGACATTCAAGGAGTTGTTTAAGTATACCCTTGGGAGTAAGGAGCAAATGGAAGATCCCATTGCCTGCATCACCCCAACGGCTGAACAAATTGCACCATTTAAAGAGCAAGCATCTGCCTGTAAATAAAAGATTGTTGTCAGTTACCAATACT